AATATGATGGTTCATGTTACAAATCTCGTAATTAATTATAAATTTAATGATTTTGATTAGGTAGAAGAAATAAAATAATAAAAAGTTTAATAGTTTTCATTTTTATCGTACATTAAACCACAAAACATTGTTTTGAATTTAATCATTCCTTTTTTATCAAGTAAAATTAATTCATTTCTTTTTTCTGAGATTTTCTTTCCAAAATCCTATCCTTACATGCACCACGTCAACAAAGTCGAATCAACCCTATAAATACCACACCATAGCCATTTCCCTCTCATTCATTTCACGCAATTCCTACAAATACCTGGAACGGCAAAACCATTACAATGAAAGGACAAACACTAGCCCTCTCCCTCTCCCTCCTCTTCATCGCCATAACTGTCGTGGCGATTGATGCCGACTCATGGGCTCCAATAAAGGACCTAAAAGACAAGCATGTGCTTGAGATCGCAGAGTTTGCCGTTTCAGAGCATAACAAGCTAGTCAAATCCGATGCGGTACTTGAAAGAATCATTAAAGGCGAATCGCAGGTCGAAGACGGCACAGATTATCGGCTTGGTTTGGCGGTGAAAGAACGGAGGGCTGATGAGAAATATCAGACTGTTGTGAATGAGAATTCGGAGAATTTAGAGAAGACTGTGGAATCGTTTGTGCCTATTAACAGTTAAGAAAAAAATGTAATAGATGTGGTGAATTATTTTTTTCCTTTTCTTTTCCAGATATTGGAGATTCTAATGATAATAAGAGAGAGTTTGGTCTGTTTAAGAATAAGAATTATATAAAAAAAGTTCTTTTATATACATTCCAACCACTGAAAAAAAAAAAAGGCTTCCAGTTTTAGCACAACATGTCTTGCTGACGCTATAATAATTATAATTGTTAACGTCAGAAAGGTCAATGACGCAGGTATATTTTAATAATTGTCTATTCAATAGTTTGTTTTAGAAATTTTAATTTATGTAAGGTAATGGAAGAGAGGTATTTTCTTTTTTATCCTACTGCACCAAAGGCTCATATTAGTGTACCGTAATTTTATTAGATTCACAAAACAAAGATAACTATTTAAAAAAAATTTATATGTATAAAAATTTAAAATCGAAGATTACTTTTTTAAATGATCGAAGCATCTTTCATTCAGATCAACCTTCTTGAATAGAAAGCTATTTCTTTTATATAGATCAAAACTTACGAACTTTTGAATAATTTTAAAAAGATTAGTGGAGGTATATTATATAGTTTTACTAAATATGGAGGCTTAAAATAACATGAAAGACCAAGATAATTCTGAAAACTTAACACCCTTTTCTTTATGTGCTAAACACCAGTAAAACCACAAAAGCATGCGTAGTGTAGATGCATAGTATTTTTGGTACGTTTATAATAATCAATTAATTCTTTTATGATTATTATTAATGTCTAGCTTCTATTTTTCTCTTTCAAATGGCTTTAGAGAGACCAATTAATCAATTCTCTTCATGGACCAACACTCTGTCTATATTTTCGTGGGCGGGCCTTTTGACTAACAAGGATATGTTACAAGATACATGGGCAATATTTAGACTTTTTTCCGTAAGAAAATTAATTTGAATGAAAAAATTTTTAATTGTTTAAAGAAATAAATTCAAATTAAAGTCTTTATATATGTAAATAACTCTTTAAATAATTGTTTTTGTCTTGTACATTCAACATAATAGTAAGAAATTAATCTAAGTTTTTGAGACTCGGAATACGTTTGAAAAAAATATATATTTAGACTTCCAAAAAAATTTAGGAGGTCTTGTTTATGGTTCTATGATCCATAAGAATTATCCTATATATTAAAGCAAAACGCTTTTCATCGTAGCAATGAACAGTGTTAATCATTGTTCATTGCTACGGTGTTTTTGTTTTTTTTTAATTTTCATTATTTTTTTTGGCTAGACCCGTTGCCTCCCATCCGTTTACTCGTTCATTTGAACAATGAACGACTTCCCTGTTTTTTTTTTTGTAAACATTGAATTTTTTTTTAAAATTTCCATCAATTTACTGTTCACATGAACGATAAACGACTTGCACCCTATTTTGTTTTTCTAAACATTGAATTTTTTTTTTAATTTCTGTTTCTTAATAGTATTTGGTGTTAAAATTTTAAAAGAACCAACAATTAATTGGGTGTTAAAATTTTAAAGAAACCAACAATTTATTTTCTTTATTATTTATTTTTAAAATTTAACAAAATAAATAAGAAATAGTTAAATACAAAATTTTTTATTAAAAAATTATGATTATTTTTTACCATAAAACAGATTATTAAATTGAAATAATTTTTCTAAACGATTTTATATATTTTATCCAACTGGCAGCATAACGCAAGTAAAAAATCTAATATTATATACTAAAGAAAAACCATTTTTCATCGTAGCAATGAACATTGTTAATCATTGTTCATTGCTATATTACTTTGTCTTTTTTTGGTTTTTTAAGTTTTCATTTTTTTTTTTTTTGCCAGCACTCGCTGGCCTCCCCCCTCTTTTTTTTACTCGTTTATTGTTCATTTGAATGGTAAACGACTTGCCCTCTTTTTCTTTTTTTCTATAAACACTAATTTTTTTAAATTTCCATCCGTTTACTATTCACATGAACAGTAAACAGCTGGCCTCTTTTTTTTTTCCCTAAATATTGATTTTTTTTTTAATTTTAATTTCTTAATAATATTAGGTGTTAAAATTTTAAAAGAACCAACAATTAATTGGGTGTTAAAATTTTAAAGAAATCAATAATTTATTTGCTTTATTATTTATTTCTAAAATTTAAAAAACAAATAAGAAATAGTTAAATATAAATTTTTTTCATTTAAAAATTATAATTATTTTTTTATCATAAAACAGATTATTAAACTAAAATAATTTTTCTATATGATTTTATATATTTTATCCAATCCGCAGCGTAGCGCGGTTAAAAAATCTAGTTAAGGCTAAGAGATTATCCAAATCAAGGAGAAGAGATTCTTAAGAATCTGAATTCTTTGAAAAAACAAAAACAAAAAAGACCAAAAGAGCAAGAAGGCAACAATATGTGCATGTTTGGTATTATTGTGTTTTGAAAATACAACTGCTTTAGGTCTAAAAACAGTATTTGGTTAATACATATTTTGTTTTTGAAACCAAAATAGGTGTTACTTTTAAAGAAAATTGTTTTGCCTTTAGAACAAAACTGAGCACCTCTAATTTTTAACCAAAAACACAATATATTTTTTTTATAGTTAAACAATAATTTTTTCCTTATTTTTTTTTAAAGTACACATATAATAATATTTTACGTACATAATTCTTTTTCAAAATTCATTTTTTTATTTTATATAATTGATTTTCATCTTATTTAAGTTAAAAAAAATTGAGCTGAAGAATCACTCTCATAAAAAATATTCAAACACGTTATGAATTTAAAAAGTTATAAATCACTTAATATAAATGAAATATATTTATTAAAATATTTTAGCAAGTTATAATACTTACCAGTCTCTTTTATATTTCAAAAACATGACAAAAGAAATTTAACCAAATAATATTACTTATTTTAAATATTTTTAAGTACACCACGATAACTAGTTACTTAAAAACTAATTTTACCCCACAAACCAACTCATAGTTGCGTGTTTGGTTGGCTGGTCCTCAAGCGTGGACACGTGTTATATTCAAATATATTCAATTAGAAACGGAAATTTTGTTCGAGGAAAAATAAAGTAAATTATAAATTAGAGTCTTTAGTTCCAAGAAACAATTTAGTTGATTTTTCTCGTTTTAAAAATTATTATTTGATCTTTTAATTAGAATTAATTATACTTAATTTAATATTATTTTTATTTTATAAAATCTCTTACTCTGTCATCAATTTTTCATAATTTTTAATATTTTTTCTTTCTCTATTTCATAAAATAAAAAATTAAAATAAATTAAAAAGAATAAAAAAATTAAATTACAAGTAGATTTCAAAATATAAAAATTAAATGATTATTTTTTGAAACAAGATAGACTAATTAATTATTTTTCTTAAAATGAGAGGGACTAATTTATAATTTACTCGGGAAACATATTGGGGGTCGGTGATGGTTAAGAGCTTTAAAAAATTACCATAGACATATGTATCATTTGTGGGCATATAAAGTTACATGGATTACATTATAAATTAGTTTCTTTAGTTTTTTTAAAATCATTAAATAGTTCATCTAGTTTCAATAACTAGTTTTAATAATTAATTAATGAATTATTTTTAATATTTTAAATTTATTTATAACTTAATCTTTTTATTTTTTTTAATTTATTTCTATTTTTTTAATAAATAGAGAAAGATAAAAAAATATGTGAAAATAGAAAGATTGATAAGCAAATGAGAAATTGTTTTTTAAAAAAATTAATATTAAATTGACTATAATTAACAATGACTAAAGGATTAATTAATTAGTTTTCAAATAAATGGGACTATATAATTTGCTTTTAGAACTCAAAAGACTAAATTATAAGTTACTCAATTTACAAGGAAAAATCTACTATTTTATTAAATGAGATTTAAAAGGAAAAAAAAATGAACGTACATTATTTTAGAAAAAAAAAACACCCCATCGACATTTTTCATCAATTCCAACCTTCAAAAATCTTATCCTTCCACCATGTCACCAAAATCAAAACTCCCTATAAATATAAAAAATATTATAATATTTAAAGGATAATTAGTGTTCATATACATAATCATATCCATTAAAGGTGATAAGAAGATTTCCATTTTGATTCAATTTTTTTTTATTTTCTCTTTCTTATTTCTTATTTATTTATTTACTATCTATCTCTTTTTATAGAATAATTTATACTAATTACTCTTTGAGTATTATAAATTTTTTCTTTAAATACCACACCATAGCCATTCCCTCTCATTCATTCTACACAGTGCCTCCAAATACGTGAAACGGCAAAACCATTACAATGAAACGACAAACACTAGCCCTGTCCTTCCTCTTCAGCGCCATGACTGTCATGATGGTTGACGCAGTGCTTCCTGGCTGGACTCCGATAGAGGATTTGAAAGACAAGCACGTGGTAGACATCGCAAATTTTGCCATTACAGAGTACAACAAGGAAGCCCAAGCCAAACTGGAACTTGATTGTGTCGTTAAAGGCGATTCCCTGCAGGTCAAAACGGGCGCGTTATATCGGCTTGTTTTGGCAGTGAAAGAAGAGCCTGATAAGAAGTATGTGACTGGTGTGTATGAGAGTTTGAATAATTTTAAGACTCTGGTTTACTTTGACCCTGATGAGGTGAATTAATATATTATGTTGTCTTAGATTTTTGAGATCTTATTAATGATAATAAGAGAGAGTTTGGTGTCTTTTGAATAAGAAAATTTAGTTTTGATGTTTAAGATTTGGCTAGAAAATTCATATGGGACTAATGATGATTACAAATGTATAAAAATTTATGCAAAAACTCATTAAAGAAAAGAAAAAAAAAGAAATATATTTGCAAGTATTAAGAGAAGAATTTTAAATTAGAACTTTTTATTCATATTTTATTAAAATTCTTAGTTATTAAATATAATTCTGCATTATATAAAACCAATATTAATTTAAGAAGAAAATCTATTCAAAATTAAGGTGATAAAAAATTATTAAATTAATTAACAATCAAGTTTAAAATAATTATCAAAAGAGCTTATAGCCTAATAGTAATGGTCTCTTACAAGAGGTCACGAAGTGATAAAAAAAAAATCAAGTTTAAAATAATTATGAAAAAGTAACATACTAATAGAAATATTTTACTTTCAAAATTTTAACATGCAATAAAGTTACAAGTTTAAATTTTTATTATAGTATATTTAAGTTTAAAAAATTATAAAATATTTAAGTTAAAAAACAATTGAAGAGATCAATTTTAAACAATAAAAATAATATAATTGATAATTTACACACACATATTAAAGGATCATCTCACCAAAAAGCTTAAACTAATAGATGAGGTTCCATAATATAATTTATATTAGTCTCTAACAATACACATATATGTGTGTGTGTGTTGAGTCCGCCTCTTGTAATCTAAGGTAGCGAGGTCATAACACTTCTTTTGCAATTTTTTTTTTTAACATTAATACTAATTTGTAAATTTACTATGATTGAGTTGAAAAACCCTTCAATCACAGGACAATATATATATATATATATTTGCAAGAGCATATGAATGTATTTATCAAAAATAAAAAATGGCTTTTTAAATAAGTTTTTTATAACTATTTTGTCAATGTTATTATTTTATATGTTTAATTGAATAAACTTTATTAATCATAGAATCGAATCAGTATAGAATATTCTTTCGATGTTCCCATCCCTTATCTATGATTTTGAAGATTATTTTCACTCTCTTATACTTAGGGGTGAGCAAATGGTTAAACGGTTCGGATAAGCTTAATTCGGTTCGGTTTTTGGTTAACCGAATAAAAAAAAATGAAAATCGAAACCAAACCAAATTAATTTCGGTTAATTCGGTTTGTAACCGAAATATTTCGATTCGGTATCGAAATAATTTGGTTATAACCAAAATTTTGTTCCCGTAAACGATTTTTATTTTTGTAATAGTAGAAACTAATTTACTATTAAAAAAATGTAATAGTACATCCTAAAATGGTTTGTAGGTCATTTGTCTTATTACTTGTGTTTCATGTGAGAGCAACTTCTTATGCAGCTCTTTTAGAGTTCTAGTGCGAGAATTCCTACCGTGTCAATGTTCGTTACATCTTCATCAAAATACAATTAAAAAGTACAAACGGTTACTAGAAAGAACATTGAAACAAAATTAATGGTTTGTTTTCAATCTTATCCAAGACACTTACCGGACATGTCAAATACTACCGCTTGCATCCTTCCTTTTGTGCTTTTATTAATTTCATTCTCTTCTTCCGTCACCCACCTTAATATCCCGAAACAACCAACAATGCTTAGCTCCTAATTTAATCAACCCTCACTAATTCGTTTAAGCTTTTTTGTGTCATATATAGACAACCAGATATATAGATGTACATTTCTCTTATAAAATTGGCATTTGCAAAGCAAAGAGAGGCGAGTTAATGTGGATTGTTAAAATGTTAGGAGTTTTAATGGCCGTGGGATGTTGATTCATATCACAATAGACATCTACTCTTGGTAGTCTTCCTAGGACTTCTATGCATGGTCTAATGGCATTCAATTGATTTTCCGAATTGTTCTAGGCATAGATCTTACAAGCATCGCATTATTTTTAACAAACTTAGTCTATGGAAGTTGTCAAAATTGATTATTTTCTCGCCTTATTTTTCCTTTTATATCATGTGTTTGCAAGCCTTCTGTTGATGCTCCCCGGTGAACCAGTCGAATGTGTAGTTCGTAACCAAATGTGATCTAGTTGTATTGATTCAATATGAGCGACTGAGTAATTTCTTTAAAAAAGTCTTCATTAAAAGAGGCACAAACTTTCGGATCCTTCATCGGGATATCTACAGACTTTGGTTATGTCAAGCCTATCAATTAAGAGTATTTAAAAGCAGTAAACACTATAAAAATAACTTTGTATCTCTATATAAAAATTTAAAAGCAACTGAGTATGTTTGTTGTATATCAATTTAAAGCGAAAGTAAAATTAAACTTTAAGAACTTTACTCCTTTGTGTGCAACTCAGTTCTCAGCTCATGTTATCAAGCATGTGGGCATACACCAATACACAAAACCCGAAAAAAAAGATTAAAAATGATAGAAAAATGATTGGAAAGAAGGTAGAAGAAACATAACAAGGTCCTTACTCTCAATTCACAAATGCATTTGAATATACTTGATATTCGAGCCAGAAGCAATTTTAATTATGCTTTTTCGTGTGATTCCAGCAGTAATAGTTCCCTTTGTTGGAGGAGTTGAGATGGTATTTCTCTACAAAAGAAATACAAAGATGCATTAATATATGATGTGACCCTTTGAATTAAACATAAACAAATTGCATTCAAAATATAAGTTACGAATTTGAAGTAGGAACATGGAAAAATGATCTCGCTTACATTCATTGAAAACTAATTCTCTTTAGTGTTACCTTCAAAACAAAGATGTTACATGCAGCACTCTCCTCTATACTTTTGCCAATTCTGTCGCATCAAGGAATAGCACATCGATGAATCCTTTGGCCTTTGCTTGCCCCTAATCATAATTTGTTAGGTGGGTAAGCATGTGTAGATAGCAAAAGCAATGATGGATGCATAGCCTATCGTATGAGGAGTTATATTTATGATTGAATTGTGTTTCTATCAAAGTAGACAAAGAACTGAAAGAAGCAATACTTACCGATGAATAGTTAGTAATATATTTGATGCCACCAGGTTCCCCACGAATTGCTCGATAGACATTATCTTCAACAGCGAAGTTTAGGGGACCCTGCGTTTGTGCAAAATCAACACTAACCCTCATTATAACCCCACTTACAAAATCAAAACGAAGGAAGACCGAAAGAGGATCGGAGTCCGGAGCCCGGAGGATTGGAAGTCCGAAACTCGAAAGAGGATCGGACTCACCGTCACTAAAGTGGAGAATGAAGAACATAAGAAGAAGAGTGAGACTTTGAGAACGCGAGACCCGTGAAAGGTCGAGAGTGAGAGTCGTGACTCGTGAGACAGCTGAGTTAGTGAGAGGCCGAGAGTTTGAGACTTGAGTCGACGAGTGCAAGAGACGAGAATGAGAGTGATTAAGTTTGCTCGTTGTCGGCTTGTCGGAGTGCCGGGCGTTTGTCGTTGCGTGACTTCGTCGGTGTCGAAAGGAAAGGAAAGTTGAAAAAGGCAGCTAAGGGAGACAAGGAGAGAGAGAGAGTCACCGAGTTAGGGTTAAATCTTATTCTTAGGTATTTAGAAATTAGAATTAGAAAAAATAAAAAAAACGATTTTCGATTCAAACCGTTTCGAAAAAAAAAACCGAACCGAACCGAAATTATTTCAATTTTTTCGATTCGATTATAAATTATATATTTTTAATTTATATCCAAACTAAATTTCATAATTCGATTCGATTTTCGATTAACCAAACTCGTTTGGTCACCGCTACTTATACTCAGCAAAAACGAATGCACATGTCATAAAAGGATCACCAACTAGTTTCTGTTTCAATT